AAAATGTGAAAAATTTTGGTCCCAAAAGTCATTAGAGGCAAATGAAAAAAGATTAAGGTTTTTGCTCAACAATGAAATTTTTTCTTTGGAATTTTTAAATGGTAATATTAATTTTTGATTCATCGTAAGCTTAGTGTTGTTTACTTTTTGTTGGTTGCTTAATCCGTTCTTGAGTTATAGTCCATCAAACTCACCGTTACATACCGAAGTTAAAAAAATGTAATGCAATATAACTCAAAAAGTTTTGATCTGAGAAGTCTGATATTTTGCCAGGCGCCTTTGGGGCCTATGATTACCCCTAGGACCGATTTTCATTAAAATCTGAGAGATGAGGGTGACGGGCCTGGTATGATCTATCGTGGAATGCCTCAGCTGTCAGTTGGATGGCGAGCGACGGCCACCCGGAGCCAACCGCTGCATGACCGCCCACACGAGTTACTCACCCACTGAGCTAAGAGTTTCTGACTGAGTGCCGATCACTGATCACTAACCGCTGACCGCCCACACGAGTTACTCACCAGCTGAGGTGAGCCGCTGACCGCTGAATGCTGACCATTTACCGTTAATCATTGATCACTGATCGGCGCTGAGTGCCAACTGTTCTGGTCCATCCGCTCTAGTCGTGCCCCTGCTGGCCCTGCTGCATGGGGGCAAGTCGCTCGGTAGACTACACAGTAGATCCAGGCTCCGCTGAGGGAGGGCAGGGAGGAGCTGCCTGGCGCGGCGCGGCGCTGATACGGCTGCTAATGTACACGGCCGCCGGCCATCCGTCGTGCTCTGTTTGGCCGGGCCGCCGCCGCGTATGTAAGATATGTGCAAACTCGGCGCAAGTGGTGTCACTTTACGGCGGGCCGGCGCACCCGGCCGGACCCAGATAAGTTTGTAATTTAGCCGTCCCCGCCGCCCGGCCGGCCGGGAAGTTAGCTCGGCACCGGCGAGGGATGAGGAGGCCGGAGAGTTGCGTGAGCCGGAACCAGCTGGGCGGGGTGGGAAGGGGTGGGTGGGGGAGAGCAGGAGCCGAAAACAGAGCCGGAGGCAGAGCGAGGAGGAAGGTAGAGGAGAGGCTCAAGGAGACGACATCGGGGAGCAAGTCTGAGAGCGGGTATTGAGCGGCCAGCACGCGCCGGGACCCAACACCACAAATCTGTCGGGACAGACAGACGAGAAAGGTCGGCGCCTGGCGGCTCTCTGGGCTGACAGGACGTATCGGCCGCCCGTGGCGGTCGGTATTTGTCTCACGACCGCCAGGCCCGGGACAGGCGGTCCCGCCGGACTGCCCGACGACCAACTCCATCGGCCGATCGCGTATCGCTGAATCGGAGACTAAATGACGACCGCAGCGGTCGGATTAATGGGATCGTGGCTAGCCGCCGGCCAAGCGATACCCGCGGCCCGCCGTATCACCGGCGCCCGGCCCGCTGACATTAATGTGAGATGGCTAATCAGCCGTCACATTCCAGTGTGCTCACTCGTTAAATTCTCCTCATAGTACTCGGATGTTACAATATCTGAAACGAAAATAGACATCGGTCATTCTTATTAAACTATTCTACCGCGTAGTTTGGTAAGCTGATTCATGCTTAGTCACACGCCAATATATCTCGAGTCATTATCCCATCCGTCCGTTTCCGACTTTTGCATCTTGCTGGTGACATAGGCGGCGGAACGGGGAGGGCACCGGGGCACCGTGCCCCCCTTTGATTTTGGCATTTTAACATTAGCCCTATGGGCGTTGCATGGAAAGAATGGGACCAAAAGTCGGCAGTGCCCCCCCCCCCCCCCCAGGTGTTTCGCCGCTACTGGCTGGTGATCCGCTCATCAGCCGGCTCATCGTCCCGGCTGCTGCCTGTTCTGAGCTGATGCATCCAGACGCCACCAGTGTAACTGGGACGGACCATGTGATACATTACCGAGCTGCAAGCATTACTTACAGGCTGGCCAGACAGCCGACCGCACCGGCGCCCGCTGGCCCGCGTCAAACATTCACGATGTCATGGTACATCACTGATCCTAGTCGACCGTAAAGCATGCCCGACAAGACGGGCCACATTGTGTAATGACCGCTCGGCGCGAACCAGAATGACCTGTTGTCTCTAAACGACCACTTGGATCGTTTAAAGACCCTATAAGTGGTATCATTATGATCAAAATCGCATGCAATTATGCACCACTATGCAATCATACGGCAGTGCAAGTCGCAAAGCTGGGCGGCCTGTTTCCCGACTATTTGCGTGTGCGGCGTTTCCAGGCGGCCGGTGCCGGTGCCGGGTCGGCCGTGTGGGAGGGCGTCGTGACGCCCGGTGACCGGTCGTGACCTGGCGCGCTGACCCGGTGACCGTGGTCGCCGCCGGACCGGCGCGCCGACCCGTCCGAACGATTATGTGGTCGGCGCGCTAATGCCCGAGCCGGTTGACGGTGATTTATTGGCCATTAAGCAAGAGCGTCTTGCGTCGCTGAGGGCTGCCAGGGCGGCGATCGGCCTGCTCGGCGCCATGCTGCACCCGGCGACAGCGGCAGGAGTGTGCCTTCTACACCCACCGGCAGCGGCACGGAAGTGTGCCTTCTACACCCTTAGGCCACTGGCAGACCGGCCGTAAGCCGGGGTGCGTCTCCCAACTAACCGCCAACCAACCCACCGAGATCGGCAGGTCCGGCCGCGCGGCCTCACCGAAAGCTGCACGCTTACAGCAGTTATTTCGGGTTTTACGATGATTGCCAACTAGAGAGCCGCTCCATTAGCCGTCCCCAGACTGTGTCCGTACTGTCTCCAATACCCCGTGCCGTGCACTGTGTGCCATATCCACCCCGTGCCGTACCGTGTGCCTGCAACGCCGTCTTCGTGTGCCACTGCGCCGGCGGGCCTGCGAGGCGATTAGGCCGGCCGCAGCGCGCCGTCCGATCGCGTTAGTGGCCGTTACCGGCGCCGGTAATTGGGCGTCGTCGGTTCCACCTCGTGGCAATACCATGCAATCAGTTTTGCTCGGCCTAGTCGGGTGGCTGGGTGTTCACAGCGTCGTTAGGTGACGCGGCGGCTCGGAAGCGGCGGCCGCTCTCAATCATCGTCATTATGGCAAGTAATGGACAGTTGGAGAGCGCCGGTGGGTCACTGCACCGACACACTGGACGGTGTCACCGCCCCGCCGCGCTGTGACACGCAGGATGACACGCCAGTCGAGTCTGCGTGTGTCGCGTGCAGGTGCGGTAGCCGGGATGTGCTCGCGCGCCAACGTGGGACTGGCGACAATGGTCTGGGGTTTCCAGTTGTGAATGCCGAGTTCGTCGGGAAGGGTCTATACCATGTATCGTGACTTCGGTGTCATGTTGGGTCATCGTTGTTATTCCTTCTGTCTGGTTTGATAGGTACATACGTGTCATTATCAATCGCTACCCTCCTGTCCGTGGCGGTATTAATTTCCGTGTCAGCTCCTATTATGTTTCCTGTCCGCTGTCCTTTGTCCATGTCGGTCCTGTCTCACTGTCCGCTGTTCATGTCCATCACTGTCCTGGTGTCCCACCCGTGTCCTCACCCACCACTCACGTCCATTGTCCGCGTCCATCGTCACGTAGCACTCCGTCACACCTTAGTGGCAGGTGACAAACTGGACTCCCCGACTGGCCGTCCAGCCAGGGGTCCTGTCCCGCGACTGATCGGAATCGACTGAAACTAAGTTCTTCGGGAGCAAGTTAAGGGTGTCGTTCATGTCATGGTGCTGAACATGCGTCCGTCACGTGTTGGTCTCTTCCAGAAGTGCTCAACTTGGCGTTGTTTTGTTTTGTACTTGCTCACGAGTGCTGTCAATTTAACGTTGCAGCCGAGGGATGCCGAAACATGAAAGCAATGGCACAGACCTCAAAGAGTTAAGCCCTCCGAAACATCTCGAAGTTGTAAGTCGAAGTCGAAGCTTGTAAGCTGCAACAAACGAGATCTGATCGTGACTACTCTACCCGGAGTTTGGTCCGAAGTCACCGGGGTCGCACATAATGCTGGCACCTCGCGCTGCGTTGCATTACTGTTGAATCTCTTTGTGAGTTTCACTGCCCAGTCTCACAGTAGCGAGCGGATTGCTCACCCTGTATGCATGCAAGTTGCGAGCAAAGTACGCGGCTCAGCGCCGGCCGTGGCAGCAACACGGGTTTCTGGTGCGACACTTTCCGGGGAAATGTCCTTTCCAGGTCCGGGTTTGCCAGTGTATCTCCAACATCCCACACTCACTGGCGGATCCATGCACATAACTCTTACTTGACCTCACGAGCTACCTCCGCCATCGGTCAGGGTCGGCCGGTGGCGGACCGAAGCCCCACGGGGGTCGTTCTCCGGCACCGACGGCTGAACCTGCGCTTCCACGGTGTCTGATCCGTGAGTCCAACGTCACGAAGCACGGTCCGCGGTCCCGGAACTGGGGCTGCCGTTCGGGGAACGACTCTGTACCGGACGCGGTGCTCGTTAGCCGTGAGCCGACCGTGCGGTGACGACCGACGCCGGCCGGCCGGTGGATGGATTAATTGTGGGCCGTAGTTAGTTCGTGGTGAAATTGCGCGAATTTTCGACGATCTCATATTTCTCGGCGAAATGACGCATTAATGAAAGGATAATCGCCGTTTGAAATGATAGTCAAGGGTTGTAGTTTTCACGGAACACGGACTGGAATAAGCGGATGGAGCAAATGGCCCATTCAATGCGCGTGTGCCTCCCATTACACGTTGCGAACGGTTACTGGAATGTATAGTGCGCAATCCAACTAACTGCCGTACTCCCTGGGGCTTTCGCTCTGAGGCATGAGATAATTACGCTATGAATATGAATCGTTCTCGTTCGTACGTTACACTGGTACTTCAAACCATTTGAAAATATGCCTGCTTATGAGTGCTTAGTGCATACGCACAACGCAGAAGCAATAAATCATAAATGCCTCTTGCTGGCCCCACGTTCTGCCCACCACATTCCGCCATTAGCTCTCAGCTCCTCAGTCCGCTGACTGTTCCCATCTCTGTGTTTTCAGTGATAAACCTGCGGAACACACAGGAGGAGGAGCCGCCCGACCCGCAGCTGATGCGACTCGACAACATGCTCATCGCAGAGGGGGTGGCCGGCCCCGAGAAGGCCGGAGGCGCGCAGGCGGCGGCCAACGCCAGCGCGGCGGCCGCGGCAGGAGGCGCCTCCGCAGAGGGCACCATCGAGCACTCCGACTACCGCGCCAAGCTCGCCCAGATCCGCTCCATCTACCACCAGGAGCTGGAGAAATATGAACAGGTGAGCACTGCTGAATGGCGTCTGCGTGTGTCGAGGGATGGTAGGATTGAAAGAGGATGAAAAGTTGCCGCCATTTAAGGTGCAGTGCAGCTGACGGGAATAAAATGGAATAAAAACAAAGTCTATGACGAATGTCTGAGATCCGGGTTCAGTACGTGACGAGCAGATTGAAGACACAAATTGCAACGTAATGACCATGTGATCTGCAGTCAATTCTGCTACAGTGGTTAGCAGGAGCGCCGGCCGTGGCGATGCAACCAGCGCGCTAACCGGCGGTCCAGCTCGCTCCATCGCCCGCGGGCGTGTCGCCATTTATTCCGCCATTACGCGGCCGCTAAATATAGCCGATGACTGGGATCGGTGCAGTGTGGCGCGGCCAGTGACCAGCGCCGCCGAATTCGCCGCGTCACACGCCGGCTGTGTCTCGGCGCACAAATCACGCCGCGGCATCATTATCAGCTCATCGTGCGGACCGGCCGGCGCTACTTAATCACTCTGGATTACGGCCGGTTCACAGCCGCCGTGTGGCCGGCTCCCGTGCACGTCCGGCTGGGTGGCGGTCCGTGCACTGGGCGGTGCATGGTGCACATGGCGCGCCGCTAAACGATGGCCTGTGCTGCTACTTCAGTATGCTCATACAGCTGTTGTATGCGGTCGCCAGCCTGCGGTGGCTGTTATGTTTCCGCCAGTCCTTTCTCGTCTTGTTGTGCTAGCTATTTTCTCATTTACAGCAAGCTCTTGCATTGAGTCAATGTTGCAGCTCATCTGTTGCTGGCGTCACGCCCCGCGCTGCCGACTTGCCGTGCTCTCAGTCGGTGCTCGTGCCGACGGCCGTCCCTCCTCGGCAGTTTTCCCATACATTGCCGCAACGAGCGCGTTGCCGGCTTGTAACGACCCCTTACAGCGCTCTGCCGACCGCGCATTGATTGCTAGTGCGCCTCGACAGGCTCTTGAATTAATAGACCGATAGTAAAAGTTGGCCGCCGAGTCGCGGCCGTCGGACCGTGTCCCGGCTCGTCGAGTCGTTTACGACAGTGAGGAGAGAGACATTGTCTCTTCTGGGGCAGAAGAGCCAGGCGCGAAATGGGCCATCTCGGCCGCGTATGGGTGCTCTCGGCTCGGGGTGAAAGTGCATAAAACCTGCCTTCGAGTCGGGAAGGAAGTGGCGATGATTCGGTAAACGGCTCCCTCAACTGTAAAAGGTTCGTGCCAAGTGCTGGTTAAACGGAAAATGGCAGAACGATGGGAACGAGGGCGCAGGGGTGGCACCGACTGCCGAAGAACGCTGCGAGAGTGGTTTTGTATCGGCCTTTGCAAGCAGATGGACATATGGAAATGCATGCTATAGTTAAAGTGAACGTTATCCCTGACAACTACCAGAAGCATGGGCTACCTTTTGTAACCCGTTGAGTTTCTGAGCTGCTGTTATCTGAAAAGTCATCCGGGTTGTTCAGCTGTTCAGGTGGTAATGAGGATCAATTAATATCCCGCGATCGCCCCTTGCTGGGAATAACGCCACCGGGAGTTTATGGACTTGTGATGCTGCACCGTGGGCCACTGTAATATCTCTTCCACCCTCCCATCCCATTGTATCCGCTACACCAACACACCGCCTGTCACTTGTGGTTCTTTCACGGTCACTTAGACTGCCTCCTGACGTAACGCCTGTCTTTCGACCTCAGTTCGCTACCGTGATCCGAGGCCCGATATGATCGGTCCGCGGCGGCCGGAAAACAGACAGCCGTTTTGTCAGGTGAAGCGGGCCGACCCGCACCCGCCGTCCGATGTCAGGGTGACGCGCCACCGCCGCTGCCGCCGGGACCCCACGTGGCGTCATCGAGCCATTAGACCGGCCGCCTGGTGCGGTGACGTCACCCGAGATGATAATGAGCAACTTGATCATCCTTGATCACGGCTGATTGCTGGTGTTTGTTTTCCAATTCTTTGCGAGTTACTCGCTAATTTGTTTTCTTGATCTCATTCAGTTTTGTAAAAGCTACCAATCAAGCTGAAACTTTCGCTGACATTCTGACCAATTATTTTACGATTTGCGATTTATGTTGGAAAAACATCAATATCACTAAGACCATTGAAGGTCGTTTTTGTAAGCCGACTTTCGCCCCCGTCTGTCGCAGTTAATAATTTATCAACATGTCCACGTAAATCATGTCAGACTGCCAGCGTTGTCCGCTCAATTAGCGGAAACTCGGCATGTTCACAGTACATTAGACACCAGGGATGGCTTGACGCAGATCATTCCATCGCGGCTCGTGCTAATCCCGGCGGCCACTTAAATGCTTGACGCACTGATGGCAGTGCGTCATGACGCAGTACCGAAGTGGCAACTATAACACTTATCACTTACAGCAAAATGCGTCAAATGATTAAGTGATGTGGACATAAATGGAACAAGAATGCGTCAGGTAATGCAGTGCGGAAATAATGAAGCAGTAAAATGATCACACAATTTTGTGCTGATTGTTCGCTGTTTGGCGTTCCTCGTACCTTTTGGTAGAGACGGCCTGAGACCCGCGCTGGAACGGCCTATATTGTCTGCTATTTGCGCTGCAGCGTCGCCGCCTCATTTCGCACCTTATCATCCGGGCGCCTTTATTCGGCCGCCAATAATCCTTTCGGCGCGGCTTTGTCTCACAGTTCAGTTTCCATTTTCTCAGCTGTCATGCTGGCGGAATTTATGTGCTTTAATCGTCGCCGAGGATATTGTGGCTCGAGCGGCGCCGGACCCGACGGTCGGCGACCCGTCGACGCCGACGAGGGGGGTAGGGGGGAGCTCAGGGCCGGTCTCGATCCGCTACCGCCCCTGAGAACCCGGCACCTGGCCTTCTCTGCCGGCCCTTATGTCGCTAGCGGCTCAACCATTGGAGCGAGAACATCACGCAAATACGGGAGAGGTGGGGGATATTCTTGGCACCACATTTACCTTTAGGAAGACGGGCATATCTTTGGTGGAGAATGTGCATATAGTTTTGTCTGCCATTGTGTTAAACGTATATGAGGGAATTAAGGGCAAAAAGAAAACAGAACATTAAACAATTTAGCTACACTTATTAGTGCGCTACCTACATGTTTCTCTGCTTATGACAAGCACAACAAAGTATCTACAACTGTGCAGCATTTAAATCAGCATTGCCTGTAAGTTGTAACAGTAATGACATGTTGCTTATTATCAACAGCATCAACAATGGTGAATAAGGGCCACAGCGTATAATTAATGCGAGTGTATATCTGCCACATCACGACCGGCAGCCAGCTGCGGGCGGTAGCCAGAACGGTGGCAAAAGAAGCTGCACTAACACACCTTATCAGCCACAGCACAGCAGCCGGCGAGCCGCAGCCTTCAGCAGGTCTCCGGAACGTCCCCCGGGCCCGGTCCCCGCCGGCCGGCCGTGTTCGGGACGTGCCCGGGACGTGCTCTGGACGTGCTCGGACACACGGTCGCAGCCGGTGGTGGCCACGACCGACTGAAATACGCCGGCCGGAGGCGATTTATGAGTTTCATCAGCAGTGTGGCCGCTGCGCCAGACACGTGCTGCTCGGAGCTCCAACTCGAGTCCTCCGCTCCCGAGCGCTTTACCAGAAAAGTCGCACATCTCGAGTGGTTTACAATGGCTGGATCCGGCTCTCGGGTGGAGGTTTGAGCTAAATGTGTACCCATGTGGTTCATTTCATCCCTATCGGTGTCAAGCACCAATTAGAACGATATAACCCCATTGCTAGCCGCGCCCAGAAACCGAAATTACCATTACCACTTCCACCATCGGCCGTCATCAACACATTCTGAAATGGAAACAAAGTAGGGGCATTAGTGCTCCGGAGCGGATGTCCCGTGTTCAACTCGTCATGTGAAGGGACGGCCGCCTGCCACCTGTCTTTATTGACTTCCCATGCGGTGTGGGCTGCCACTCAGGCGGCAGTTAGCACACATTTTCCAAATGATGGCCCTGTCCAGCATAGTGGTCATTACGGCCGGACGGGGAAAGGTGCTCGTGCTGGTCGTCCCCGTCTGTCTGTCCGTCCGTCCGTCCTACAGTCCATCCTCCTTTCCATTTGTCTGTCCGTCCGTACGTCCGTCCATTCGTCGGCACTTTAGGTGCTGGTGCCTAGTGATTGCCTTTCGCCGCTTCGGATTCCTGGTGCAGACGCAAAATTAACCGATACGGTAAAAGATACCGTAAGCCTTCATAATCCTGTCATTCTTTATGCCTCTGAATCTCCTCAGAGCCTGATGAGACCGACGGCGAGCCTGTGGCACGACAGAAAGTTGGAAGGTTTGCAGACTCAGGCACGGCATTGTTGAACGGTCCTAGGACCAGACGACATCGGCACTAGCCTGGCTGACCGACTGATGTGCGTGAGTGGATGTCGAGTGGGCGTGGTCGCGGTGGGCGTGGTCGCGGCGGGCGGGGTGCGGCGGTCCGGCACCCGACACCGGGCGGGCGGCGCGCCGCGGTGGGTGCGGCCGTCGCTGCGTCGGCCGGTGGGCCCTGTTAGATCGATGCGGCGCCGATGGTCAATACACAGCCGGTGGGGAGTACCCCTGCCACCGTCCTGACCGTCCGCAGTCGCACCGTCCGCCCGCGGCCCAGTGACGCAGATGAAATACAACCCCACTCCCAGTCTGCGAATGACACGGTCAACAAAAACGGACCGAGGAGATGTAGACCATATATTCGTTTGAGCGTAACGGATTTATGACAGCGCTACCCATCACGCACTGACGGGATCTTTCGGGGTACACTGACGGGCTACTATATCTGCTCCTCAGGCATGCAACGAGTTCACAACACACGTGATGAACCTCCTTCGAGAACAGTCGCGGACACGGCCCATCACGCCCAAAGAGATCGAGCGTATGGTGCAGATCATCCACAAGAAGTTCTCCAGTATCCAGGTGCAGCTCAAGCAGTCGACGTGCGAGGCTGTCATGATCCTTCGCTCACGGTTCCTCGACGCCAGGTGAGTGCCAGCTTCGGCTCGGCGGTGATAGCCTGTCAGTTGTCACGCCCTTCGTGGCGTGTCTTCCGCGGACGAGGGGGGGGGGGAGGGGCAGAGGGACTGGTTAATGGAGTGATGTGCGTTAGTTTGATGTGTAAATACGCTTTCATTCATATTCATGCATGACATGGTATTCTACACTGGATATCACTTCTTATGAAATACGTACTCGTAGAGTTACAAGTTGATAATAGTTTCCTGATAATGCAGCTCTTCTGTTTGTCACAAACTTAGCCGAGCCGAGCCTAGCCTAGCCGAAAACCGTGGGTCGATCCGTCTGCAGGGCCTCGCCCAGCCTTCTTCCGAGCCAGGACCCTAGCCCGACTATGCAATAGTGTGAGCCCCAGCCGACCCGGCTGGGCCCTGCCTGACTGGCTCTGTTCTGTGCGACTCGGCTGGGCCCTGTGCGACTCGGCTCGGCTCGGCTCGGCTAGGTTTTTGCCCATGTCGCGCTGTCGGCCGGCGCTGACGGACGGCGCCGCTCGACTTTTTGCCCGGCGCCGTCCCGCGCCCTGCTGCAGCTGCGTGCCTGCTTGCCTCGCTCGCTCGCGCGTGTGTGTGCCTGTGTGCCGGCCCGAGCTACATCCTTGCCTGCCCCGCTCCCCGTATACCTTCCTGCGCGCGGCTTGCGAATGCGGCCCGGCGGCAGCTGCGAGAGCGCCATATCTGCCTGCTGGCTGTCTGTCGCTCTGCCGCTGCTGCTGCTGGTGAAGCTGCTGGTCCCGGCGCCGGCTGCTGACCGCTGCTGTTGGCATTCATGACATATTATCGTCACCTCTTCGGTCACTGCCTTTAGTCCACGATCAGACCCTTCACAGGAGCCTAAGCGGCGCAGCAGTGCCTTCACAGGAGCCTCAACGGCGTAGCAGTGCGGCACCGTATCTCTTCCAGCGCCCGCGCTGCTACCGACTGGCACTAACCGTGTGTTTACCACTCGCTCCTAGCTGCAGGACCGTGTTTATCTCATCCCGAGCTGCAGGGGACTCAGGGCTCCGCTCAGTGAATCGGATGAGTCTGCCTGTGTAGTGTACGATGCTGCTGTGCTCAGTGGATGTGGTCGATATGTTTGTCGTGTGCTGGTCGCCCGTTTGTTTTTGTGGTCATTGTGGTTTGTTTTTGCTTTGGTGGTGATGAGTGATGAAAGAAACGATGTGAGAATGGTTTTCAATAGTTTGCTATTGTTAACCCATTTATTTTCGATTGTAGCTGAATTATCTGCCCTTACACCGACGCCATTGACACTCAATCTTGCAACCATGCATCATCCGCGACAAATTTTAGCATCGTCAGCCTAAGCCCTCTCCGCTAGGCTCGCCGTCCCGTGTCCCGACCGGGACGCGGCGTCCACTCTATCCTGTGACCGCCGCGCCGGCTGGCCTGAGAGCCGCCCGGCCATCCCTCCGCCATCAGACCCTCGTCGGCCGCTCGTGCCGCCGTTTACGACTCGCTAAGCGGCCCCGCTAACGTCTCCATCGCCGACCCTGAGCGGAGCTGGAACGAGCCCCGAGCGGCGAATGGCGCCGTCAGCGACCGTCCGTCGGTCTCGACGGATGGCCCGGAGTCGGCTCCCGGTGCCGCGTCGGCTCCGACACCGGCCGACGGGCCGATCACGTGACCGGTCGGGTGGCCGCGGGCACCTGGTGGTGCAGGAAACGGGCCGAATTAACAAACTTTACGGCCGACCCGACTGCCGAGAATAGCAGCAGACAAAAGCCGTTTTGTGTTTATTGAAAGAAGTCACGGAGCCGCAAATGGACCACGGGCCGGCTGCTCTGGAGACACGGCTGTGTGTGTAGCCCGACGTGCCGGGTCGCGGCGGCCGGCAGCTGCAGTTTACGACACTGGCTGTGTGTCCGAGCCGGTGCACTCCGATGGAGGTCTATTGTCCGTAAAACGGCCGGTGGCCGCTCAACTTGCGTCAACGAGCGGCGGGGCTGTGCCGGTTGCCGCTGAGTAGGGCCGACTGCAGGGCCGGCCCGGGTCAGACGGCTGGACCCGGGCCGGCGGCGGCCGAAATGTCACGGTCTCGGGGCCGCCGTCGCCGGACAGACGGACGGGCCGGCGACGGCGCGGCTCGTTGAAGAGCTGACGGACGCCGTTGGCCGTCGGAGACGCGCTGATGGCGCCGGAAATCGCCCGGATCAATCGCAGTCTGGAGCAAACGAGCTGGCCAACGGCCGTTACTGAGCGGGCCGGACGCGGCGGCCGGCCGTCACCGTCGCCGACGGGCGGGCGGCGCCGACCGCGACGGCCGTCAGCCGGGGACGGACGGCCGACCGATGGCGCTCACTGCCGTCATTGAGTCATGCAGAGATGGAGACCGGGGCGAAATGACCCGAGCAATGGTTACTGGCGAGAGATGGATCTGGATGCGACGTAGGACGGCGGTTTGAGTCGGGATGATGCTAGCAGAGTGACAGAAACTGGCTGTATAAGGACACAGGTTTCAAGTCAAGTTCATGAGCGGCTGAATTCATCTCGCTGTAAAAGCTAAGCGAGCACATTTTTTCTTAACACCGTCGACTCTTAGTTGGTCCTCAGTTGTGGTCGGTCTGTTCCGCAGTTGTGGTCGGTTTGGTCAGTTCCGCAGTTGTGGCCGGTGTGTTGATCTCACGGCCCAGTGCCCCGGGCGCGGTCGGCTGGCTCCCCGCGGTGTGGTGCGCGTGTCGACTGGATGTTGTGCGTGTCGGTGCGTGCGGCGCCGGCCGACGCGGCACGCCGAGGCCGGCCTGCACGTCAATCACAGGCTCGGCCGGCGGGATTAGACCCGCGGCGGGGGGCCGCCAGAGAGCGCCGGCCCGCTCCGAGCCGAGGCCACCAGCAGAGGAGACGCGCTGCGTTGAGGAAGGTGCGCCGCTCGGGACCGCACGGCACCGCCACGGGCCCCCGGCGTTCCAGCCGAGGCCTGAACGAGCGGCCCCTGTGTCCGCGTTCGAGTTCCGAGTGTTGTGAATTGTGATCCAGAGTCGCTCGGCATTCCGGCGTCCCTCTGCTCGCGGCGCGGTCCGGTATGGTCCCGGTGCCTGTTGACAGGCGTGTTGGTGCGCCGGGCGGTCCGGCAGCAGTAATGGCTGTGTTTGCGCCCCGCGTGGGAACTGGCTCGCGGAACACGGGCGTCGACACCTGGTGACATTACAGAGACGGTGGGACCCACGGTGGAACCCGCTGGAGCTGGGTGGGGACAATGGGAGCTGGTGGGGTCTAGGTTGGGGTGGTGGGCTCTGAGGGATGCCGTTCAAGACTGGGTCGTTGGGTGTGGAAGACCCTGAAGTTGGGCGGGATCGTTGGGGTAGGCAATATTGGAATGGGTGAGGTTAGGTGCGGGCCTATGGACCTGATGGGAGTCTTTGGGATCCAGCGAGGTCCTTTGGGAAATGGCGACAATTGACGGTTTGCAAGGCTCTTACATTAAGTGTCCCCAAGGCCGTTGTCCGTTATAAAGTAGTCACCTTCACGTTGAAGACCAGTCAATTATCAACCCTTCAAAGTTTGAGACTTGTCCCGTTACTTTCTCTACACTACATTCATATACGTTCTTGTGCTGTCGCGTACGCCGGAGTCGCAGTGACGGGTGGCTCGGTCGGCCCACTGACCTCGGCTGTCCCATCTGACGCGTGACGTCCGTCGAGTGACGGCTGCTCGTCAGGCGGTGACGGCCGACCGCTGATCGGCGAGCCGATGGTCGCCGGTGACCAGGTTTTTGTCACCGAGGGTGGCCGGTGGCTGGCGCCGGCCGCACGCCGCCACGGACGGCCCTGTGTCTGTCGTGGCTGGGCTGAGATTCGCTTCCACCGACCACTTAGAGTGCGGCCCGCTGGTTGTTGTTCGTGACTAACTATAATTGGTGGCGGTTTTAGAATCATCGTAGTCCTTTCAGCTCTTTTGTGTTTGCCGGATATTTCGTAAGTTTCCGACTGTTACATCCTGGATCGCTGTAGTGTATATTCTGAGTGGTTGGTGAACCTCTCCTGAGGGCCCGTGAGTCTCCTGTGAGAGTCCGTGAGCCTGTCGTGAGTGTCGGCCGTTAGCCGTGTGCGCCGCCGCCGCCCCGGCCGCCGCCGCCCCCGCCTCCACTAATGACAGTGTCCGGCGGGAGCGCGCGGCTCCCGTTCCCAGCTGGCCCGATGGCGCCATTATCGAATTTGGAGCGGCAATTAGACAAATGGTAATTGCGCGCGGCAGCCGCCCGGTTGTGGTCTCTGCGGCGGCGGCGGTGGCCTGGTGGCGGTGACACAGGCGCGACACTGTGGCCGGCCTGCGGTCTGTCGGCCTATGGGGCAGCCGGCAGGGACACGGGCCGACGGGCGAGTGGTCAGCGGTGCGCGACCCACCGATATCGATACAGCTGCCGCAGAGGGGAAAGGGTGCGATACGACCAGAGTGGTCCAGGCTGATAGGTTGCGGTCATAGAGGAATAAATAATCTGCTGTCCTTATGTCTTTGAAGGGATCGAAAGGTTACAACGAAGAAGAGAGTAGAACTGACCGCAACTTTCCCGCATTGAGCATTTAATTTTCTCTAACTAAACGGTTAGAGAACTTATCCATGTTCACTTATTTCGGAATCAGGGATAAAAAGTTTCTTTTCATGTGAACTGAACTTACTGTTCTTGGCACATTGCAGACTTATATACATTTAGTCGACTTCAGTTAGTTGCAATTGGTTGCACTCAACAGCATGATATTGTTTTTTTTATGCCAAAGCGCATTTGCCGTATTTCGTATCACCACGTTTCTTCTTAATCACCTGTTTGGAGAACGGTGACGTTATCTTAGGATTGAACTTAGTGCCTGAGCTTAAGTAGTTAACTGTCCCGTCTCTAAAAGGTCATAAATCACAAATAGTAAACATGACCTCGTAAGATTCATCTGTCACCCAATGATTAATTACTGCTCTGGCCCCTGCCTTGCTCGTGTGAGTTTTTCTCCGAACCGTGCGTCCATGTCGGAATGTTGACCATTTGCAATGTGTGTCTGAATGTACTTATAATTTATCGTATGTCACCGTGAGCATTTCATCATGCTCGCACTGTGCATCCGTGACTGCCGAGTATTGTTAACCTCCTGGACAGCTCCCTGATCGTGTAACTCCACCACCGTATCGCATGTGCCTTGTCGCACCCTCATTTGACCTCCGCTCGCTTGCGCCGTGTCGCCCCTCATTTGACCTCCGCTCGCCTGCACGGGTGTTTGCCGGCACGTTCAGTAGCTCGGCGCGCCTCCAGCGGCCTTACTTCACCCTGTTGGTGCGCCTGCTTCCCCGCTGCTCCGGCTGCCAGTTTTGACCCAAGGACGGCCACCGTTCGTTTCCAGGTCAACCAGATCTCGGCTGCCTGCTTTTTGATTCTCTGTTTGTGCACGTGGAGAGGGGAAAGAGGTAGCAAGACGACTTCCCTGGGGTTCTGCGGGATCGGGAAGGGGTCTGACGGGATGGGTCGGTCGGGAGGGGCTGACTGATCGCTGGCCCCCGCTGAGCCCGCCCGCGGTCTGTCCCTCTTGCAGGCGGCGGCGGCGCAACTTCACCAAGCAGTCCACAGAGATCCTGAGCGAGTACTTCTACAGCCACCTGGCCAATCCGTACCCCACCGAGGAGGTGAAGGAGCAGCTGGCCAAGAAGTGCGGCATTACCGTGAGCCAGGTACAGCCGGCGCCGGACGCGCCGCCGCCGGCCTTGACCTCCGCCGCGGTCAGGGCAGCTCTGGCCAGGCTCGTTTGCCGCGCATCCCTCCCGTCCGCACCAGGCCCGCTCCAGACCCTCCTGCTCGGCCCTCCTCCCTCCGGAAGGCACCCGGATTTTGTTCGCGATATGTTTTCGACCTCCCTCTCTCGCTTCTTAAGTTTGTTCGTTTCTTTGCAGGCGAAAGAGACGAAACTTTACCAAAACCGCCACCGAGGTGCTAAATGAGTATTTCTACGCCAACTTGAGCAACCCTTACCCCACGGAGGAGGTCAAGGAAGAGCTGGCCAGAAAGTGTAATATCACGGTGTCTCAGGTACGATCACCGTGACTCTGCGGCATTAGCGCCGTCATTACCGACATGCTATCAGAGGCGTCCTCTACGCCAGTTAATTGTTAGTTACTGCCAGGCCTACCTCCGGTTTGGTACGCTGGAAGTGGCGGATAATGGTCGCTCATTATTATAATTGTGTGCAATATGTGCTAACGAATGTTGCTTGTTTTGCGATGTGACAGGTCATTTCATCAATTGCGAAGTCGTGCAGCGCTATGCTATGCCACCCGTGGTGGTCTCCTAATGCTGGTCGAGGTCTTTCCACTTTGGCGGTGCCTAGCATTCGCTAAATATTTGCTGTATCGGGAATGTCTTCAGTTTGCGGCAGGGACGTTTGTCAAATGCCACTAAATAATGCCCTTTGTTAGGAAAGGAACTCAGTTCACGTCATATCTGACTAAAAATATGGGCTAATAGTTGAGCGATGAGCGTGAAATCATTTGGACGTACGTACCCAGCGTGCGAAATCGACTTCGGGATTCTCTTCACATCGCCTTGCCATGAGAAGTTAACATGCTTTGACGTCTTCAGTTATGTTTTGACGATAAGCTTGCTAAATGAACACAAGTTTTAGTAAGAATGGCAGTTTTCGTACTAATAAGAAAAGTCAACTGCGAGTCAAATCTTTATGTCCGACTTCAAAAAAAAAACGTCCTTACATTCCTTTCTGTTAAGATTTGTGATATGCATCTATACCTACAAACACCTATTAGCTGCAGCGCCATGTGTCCTCTGCAAGTCTCCTATAGGTAAATCCCCGTATTCAAGCTGTCATTTTGATCTCACCCAGCTCCTGATTCCACACCCAGCTATTGGGAAAAAACATCGACACTTCCCCGTTTTTCAGCTTTTCAGCTCTGCTCCTTCCTTTTTCCCAGCCCCCCCCTCCCCTCCTTCCCGTTAGTCTCCTTTTGTCCCAAGCAACATCTCATCTACCAGCTCCCTTCCACCCGTTTTATCTTCCTTTCGTTCCGTCCCATCTTCTAAGTCCCTCTTATATCAACTCCCTACTGTCTCCCGTCCTTTCCCATCTCCCAACTTTGTATTATCCCCTCAATCAGCTCCGTCTCGTTCCTCCCATATCCCTCTCGTCCCTTTAAGCTCTCTCCCGTCCCATACTATTTCCCAGTTCTCATCCCTCAGCAGCTGCGTGCCGTCCCTCCTTACCCTCCGTGCTGCCCCTCCTAGCCTTCCGTTTCGTCCCGGGCTCCCAGCTCTCCATCTGATCCCTCCCACCTCTCCTAGCAGCTGTTCCTCCAAGCTCCTCGTGCTGTTCTTATCAGCTCTCCGTCCCTGCCAGCCCTTCCTCTCCGCCCTCAGTGTTGTCCCTCCATGCCTTCCCTCTCAGCCCTCCCTCTCGTCACTCCCAGCCCTCCGTGCCGTCCCTCTCAGCCCCCTCCCAGCCCTCCGTGCCGTCCCTCTGCGGCCCGGAAGCGGGAGCGTTTCGTCGGCGGCCGACAGATCGCCGCCGTAATCCGGCTAATGCCGCTCGTCGCTAACCGGCGCGTGCCCGGCCACCGCGCCTAATGGGTTCCGTGTACCGGCCGACTCGAGTTGGCCAGCGCCGCGGCCACTTTTCAGAACACCGCTGCCGGTTGAACAATTGCCCGATCAAGCAACTAGTCCGACTCGCCGTCCGGAAAATTCGATTTCTGGCTGGTTAACGAATAATAATGTCCATTAGGCGGCGAGTGGCCGGGCAATTTCAGATAATGGCTGGAATCTGTCGGAGCGGCCGCGCGGCCGCCGATCGGCCGACTCATAGAGGCGAGTGGCCGGCCGTTTTCGGCGAGATGTGTGCTTTATCGGTCGGTGGCCGAGCGGCGAAATGGCCTCGCCGATCGGCGGCCGGCGACCGGTCGGGCGGCGGCGGTGCGCCTCGCTGACTCGGAACGGGTCGGCGCCGCCGGCTAATGGGCGGCCATGTTCGACGGAGACGGCCGCTGGGATCGGCCGATACGGCCTGCGAGCGCCGCCGCGGCCACCCGACCGGGCGCCGGCCGACCGGAGGCTCCCCGACCCCGACCGGAGTTCAGCGAGCGCTCCTGACCCCAAGCGGAGCCTCGGGAGTGCTCCTGACCCCGACCGGACCCTCAGGAGCGCTCCTGACCCCGACCGAAATCTCACGAGCCCTCTTGATCCCGACTCAGAACTCAGAAGCTATATTGACGGTTCGGTGGGCCAAGAAGGCGCGGTTGTAGATACGCCGTCTAAAGAATTTCCTCGAAATTATTAGGTTGTGCCTTATTTGTACCTCACGACATCCCCATTGCGTAGACAGAAATGATAAATATGTTCGGCATCCACCTTACCAGCTAGGTACCACTTTGGACCAATCAGTTTGACATATTAAGCGGTGTGAATTAGCGAGTTCGCGCGGCTAATTTCGTAATGGAAATATGTCTGTCAAAGAGATGTTGGAACGTACGTACACTGAACAGATTGCTATAAATATGAATGAATCCGATGAATCCGACTAAAAACGCATACAGCTTGACGTCTTGAGTATCAATTCACTGCACTTAATATTGCGGGCTGTTTCCATTGTTTTCAATAAAAAATGTACTTAACTCCGTTGCCGATGATGTCATATAGGACGACATTGGTACGTCACTGTGTCCCGACCGTGTGCCCATTGCACCGGCGGCGTGTGCTTGAGCCGCCCCGACTTCGTCAGGTTTGCAATTGGTTCGGCAACAAAAGGATAAGATATAAGAAGAACATCGGCAAGGCCCAAGAGGAAGCCAACCTATACGCAGCGAAAAAAGCGGCAGGTTAGTTAAGTGTCTTTTGTATTTTGTCAGGTGTCGAATTGGTTCGGCAACAAAAGGATCCGATATAAGAAGAACATCACCAAGGCACAGGAGGAGGCCAACTTGTACGCGGCGAAGAAGGCGGCCAACTCAGGTAGGTGACACGTCTTTTAGGAGGTGCGACAGCCCCGCCCCGTCGGCTGCCGGGCGCGGCCGAATGCGAGACTGAGTCTCGAGCTGGGATCGTTTTCATATGATCTCGCGAATGCTTTCGCTAATCGCAGTCGGCTGGGGCTTCGATCTACTTTGTATATTGATCTAACACATTTGTGTTGTTTCGTGCTTTGTGCTGTTCATTTCACTAGGATTGCTCACACGGCAGATTCTGCATGAATCGCCCGCTGGCATGAAGGAAATGCAATCAGACAGGAATGTAACAATCCCAAGTTAAATCATTTTCTAGCGCCCAGCGAACACTTACAGACAACACATCATTATGTGTCGAATCATAATTCAACCTTCACATGATGGGCATGATGGCACTTCTGCCTTTTATAGCTGCCGACTATAAACAACATAACAGGTTTTTAACAATGCCTATGTAATAGGCTACGCCCAGACTCCAGTGCATCAGCATTCAGCATATCATTTGTGGCAAGACACCATACTTGTGTCGAGCCGGGGTTAACAGAGCACCCCGACTCGTCTTGACCCTTCGCTTGTCCTTAATAGTTCAATCACTCGATACTGAGATGTGGGTGGTAAAGCTGTGGCATGCTAGTGACATTGGCATGCCTCCACCCATCCGATTAACATTGCGGGAGCGCTGCACGCCGGCATACCTGTGTCCGACGTCTGGGGTGGCGTCACTCGAACGTCTCATCTGATCGGCGCGGCATGCCACGACGTCAGTGACATCATCCACAGGTCGTCAGGGACGCGTCATCCCGGGAATGTATCAATCCACGCGATGGGAGGTCGCTACAACATGCATTGGGGAATGTTTGCATGAGGGAAATTGGCGTGTCTCGTGTGTGTCGTATGTCAAGTCGTTTAAATCGAACCGCAGCAGATAAACCGACGCCGGTAAGTGGAGCATTCCAATCCAGTTCGCGGCTTCTGGACACTCGGCACCTCAGGTGGCCTGTTCCCCCGCCTCCCGGTTTAGCAGTCAGCGTGCACCTTTATATGCGTCGCGAGGCGAACCTTACGGTGCCTTCGCCGCCGCCGTCCCCGTCTATACTGCAGTGGCGCCCAGCGGGCGGCGGCGGCGGCGGCGGCTGTCGGCTTTGGTGGGTGTTTGATGCAGCAGTATGGCCGCCGTCCGGCAGGCAGGGGAGGGCGGAGTCGTCCTGCCGAGTGGCCGGTTCTGGTCCTGTAGTTCCGCCCCGAACTCACACCAGATTGTCTAGCCGCCGCCCCGACCGCCCGGCCCACCATCGCCGAGCTGTCAGACAGTCCTTGTATAATAGCATCACACTGGCAAACACCGCGCCGACACGCGAGCCGCCATCGCCGTGGCATGCTTGATCAAATTCCGTCTCCTTTTATGGACTTCTGGACACTTATCCATGATGTCCTCATGCGCTGCGTCGATAGCTCGCTGTTAAGTGCCGGCGCCGCGGTTGTTAAGTGCTGCGCGTTGGCGACAAACTGCCGAGGGATGAGTCTCGTGTGACTGTTACGTTTCACTATTCCGGCGTCAGACATTCATGGTTGCTGCTTGAGCTAACGACGCCTCTGGGAGCCACTACCGGCCTCAAAGAGCCAGGAAGGTGGAAGGATAGTGGAGTTAAGGAAGGAGCTACCCAGCACCGCGACATTTTTTACAGATGCTACACGAAATCGGAACTCAACGGGAGCTAGTCGATCAGGATACTGAAGGGCATCACATGCACTGAGAGCGGTTAAAATTTATCATGACACGGCGGTCACTAGAAGTACCCGGAAGCCGCCATAGTTCGTGGCCTGTGAGCCGTCTTGGGGCATCTCTCCGCCCTATAAAGTCTGCTCTATGTCCCAGCTGAGCCGATATATGGCGCTGATCTGTCGTCCGCCACTGCAGTCGGCAGTGGGCCCAGCGGCGCTGTCGGCCGAACCGTCTGCGGAGCGAGCTGTCTCAGTGATCACCCCGAGCAGTAGGGCTCGCTCGTGCAAGCCGCTCATAAGCGCACGAGCGACTACGGGGCGTCACGGTTGGGCCATTCGGTACGCTCGTTGTGGAAGCGTTATTCGGTCGGCGCTAAAGCGAAGCGCCGTACCGCCGCCGCCTAAATCAGGGCGAATCAATAGAGGCCGTCTTCAGATGGCCGATAAATTAGCCCGTCTGTTTGGAATTACGTCCGCCGGTGTGGTGGCTCTTTTGTCGGTAATGGCACCTTCAGTTGTGATCGTCGAGTGGCAGATGGGTGCGAGACACATGATGAGAGGAACATGTTACGGATAGAGGTGCGAAGAACGGCGCGGCAGGGAAGCGCGATTGTGATTGACGGAATGACATGATTTTTGTTGGGTACTGGATTTGTTTGCTCGGTTACTTCTTAGCTCCTGCTGAAGGCACCAAACAGTGGCTATTACCATAAAACACATTGAAATTAAAAATTATATTTATTCTTTGTGTTGTACGTTTCTAGGCGATTAATATTATTTCGTTATTTCTGAAGTTCTTAACTTCCACGCTATCTTGAGAATTTACTGTAAGTTATATGGGCTCAGCGAAGATTTGGACAGAGTTATCTGAACATTTATGTCCTAGTGCATTTCCATTTCATCAGGCTAAGTGCTAACCCTCATGACAAAGCAACTTATATAAACTGATAATGAATTAGCTTATGCACTCGAATCGCTGGAACCAACGCATTGGTTACAGGAATGCCATCAGGGATTAATTATTTACACGATGCCATTTTTCTGCAGAAGATTGGATTTGCCACGAAAATGCAGGCAACATGCAATCGTGAGAAGTTAAAAGTTAATAAACCAGATAGCGCTCTTTGGTTCTTTACGGCACACACTTATTAACACATCTTTATCTCTCTTCGGGGCACTTCAATAACGCTACTGTTTTTATTTTTGTCTCATCTCGATTGCCTACTATCAGTTTTCAATGAGATTGCCATGAATAACGGTTCATAACTTTCCGGAGCATCTCGAGGCACTCAAAGGCCATCACATTGTATTGTATACTTTTCCAGCGTCAAGAAATGGCTCCCGCATTATTGGGCTGCAGATCCGCCTTTGTTGGTGTGTCCTTGACCGGGCGGCGGGCGGCGGGCGGTGGGCGGCGTCTCGGGCGGTCGGGGCGGCTGCTCTGAGAGCCCGCTCGCCGGCCGGGCGGCACGGCACATCCGGCCGTATCTTGGCCGGCTGTGACGGCAGCAGAGAGTTACGATGGCCCGCAAGCCGCCACGCCCGCGCCGCCGTGTCAAGACGACGCTTTTAATTACTCAGAGTAGCAATTTATGACGTCATTGATATTGTGGCTGCTCTCAGCTGCTGATGGGATCTGCGCCGCCCTCGGGGAGGCTGGCCGCGCGGCAGTGGTGGAGCGGGAGGTCTATGGGACGCGGCGGCGGTGGCCGGCACAGCTGCTCGGCATGGCCTCTGTTGATGAATGGCCACCGGCTATGTCACACATTGGCACCCCGGCGGCGAACGCAATATCGGCGAGTCGCTGTCGGTCGACGGTGGCCGCCCGATGGTGGCTGCCGTCAGTTGCGATCACTGGATGGTGTCAGTCCTGCGTCACATGGAGACTAATGTAGCTCGGTGGATCAGGAATCAGCCGCCAGGGCGACACGTGCCGCAGATATATCGGCGAGTGACTGAGACAGCGATCTGCCGCCGTATCAGGTGGTCAGATATTACGCTGGGGTTATTTGTGTGATAGTCATATGTGGTGCAGTAGCGTACAGCTAGGTAAGAAGCGTCAAATGTGCGCCAAGTTAATCAATTTTGGTTAAGTTAGCACAGGGACACAGATGCTGCTCGATCACTGTCGCCAGGAAGTGTGATTGGATTTGGACAAAAGTTGTCAATTAGCTATCGGGGTTCGTAACAGCCCATATACAGGGTGTTTCACTAAAAGTGTCAAAAAGTAAAAGGTAATAATGCACATAATAACAATGTTTTCTACGAAAATTTGCATACCATTTCATCCGCAATTGTTGGACATTTGAATATATAAAAACGATAGCACCGTCACTCAAACCTATTCCACATATCCGCCCCTTCTTTTGATGCACCGTTTCGGCACGAGTCCGTAGGTGCCTCACAGCCCGTTTTCATCTTCAGCGTCCAGACTGTCGGCAAAGCCTTGAATGGTGCTCTTCAGCTCCCGAAGTGATGTGACTTGAGTCTTCCTCAGCTCTGCGAGTGCTACTGACCAAAACCAGAAGTAAAACGGTGACAGATCGGGGCTTTGCGCTGGCCAGAGGCGGGCGGCGAGGCAGCTGATTTTTTGGTGCAGGAACTTCTAATCCAGCCAGTTCCTGGTGGTTACAGCCATTATAGTGGCTGTTTTTGATAACTTGCAAGGCCTTGGCTATTTCTGATGTTGAAATTAGCTTCTTGTTATCTTCAAAGACCCTCAAAAAGACCCTGACCTTTTCAACGGTTTCCGCCGAGAGGTGGAGGACACCGTCTTTTTTGGACTGCGACCGGCATCGAAGGAACCCTTTTAAACCTCTCAAGAAGCCCTTTGAACCTTTTATAATCTGGAACGTAGCGAGGTGAGAGAATAAAACGTTTCCTGAAAAGTCGGCATACGGTTTCAATGTTTGTGATGGCACCAAAGGTAAGTGTAATTCACCCCTCCTGTTGCGGTGTAAATAAACTGTTCTTGTTCTGCATAAGGAAAAAAACGACTAGTAACTTTGGCCTCCTGCCCTCGCTCCGTATGAGGGTAGAATATATCTTAAATGGACCAAGCATAAATGTCCAAAAATTTGCAACCAAGCCACGTGCGCAACCACGTGATTTGCATATTTAATATAACTTTAATAGGCGTTTACTTTTTGACACTTTTAGTGAAACACCCTGTAGATCTTCCAAGCTGCGAATAACTAAGGATGTGAATCTCTTGCATGATCCGTCGGCTGTTCTTTGATACAAATCAACCCAATAAGACCTCGCGCTCTTTTCGCTGTGACCCTGCGTGACCTGGTGACCCCATCTGACCCATTATCTCGTCCCACAGGCTCGTCACCGTACAGCATGGGCGGCGCCGGCACGCCGGGTCCCATGATGTCGCCTCCTCCCGCCGACATGGGCTACAACATGTCCATGAACGGCTCCCAGTACAACAGTCAGAGCCAGGTGAGTTGTGGACTGGACAGACGGACGAACGGACGGACGGAAGGACGGACGGACGGACGGACAGACGGGCAGACGGACGGGCAGACGGACGGGCAGACGGACGGACGGACGGGTCGCACAGGAACCCTGGGGCACTCCGACCGACCGTGTCCCTCCAGCGCCTAACCCGTGATTGACAGAACATTATTCACTGCCGGCGCAGACCCAAGGCCGACGATTTAGGCGCCACTCGCCACAACAGAATCACACGAATGAAAACAAACAGTGTTTATTTAACGGAGATTGATGATTAATGATGACACGCTACTTGTCATCACGTGAAATTAGAGTCACTGCTCAATGGATCGTGTACATAATCGCTCGATGAAATTTGTTTTGATTTTTCATTATTATTTTTGTGTTCACAATTACATTTCTCACCATTTGCCGGCCCATATTTCATTCATTATTTGTGGATAACGTTTTCAGTGGCTTCTGTCATTGTCTCGTGCATTCAATGTATCTGGGCCATCTCTCGATACGCTCCGCCGGTCCCCACTGCACTGACCTCTGAGCCGGTGTCCAGTGACCATTCCGCGCTGACGACCCATCCCGTCTGCCCGTTTTCAGGGCGGCTATTCCGACTCACAACCGGGGATGGGCTACTAACGGCGCGTCGTCAGCCCACCGAGGTGAGTGTCGACAGCGACGCATCGGTTCCGACGACGATGGCGGCGACAGTGGTTAGAGACGTGCGGGGTGGGTGGGGTCAGTGTCCTTAGCACTCTCTGGTGAATCAAACAGTTTGTCTCGTGTAAACCGCCGTTGCCGTCGTCACCACTGTCACTGTCTCCGCCGTGGCCATGCGTCGTGTTTGTGGCTCGTCCGTCAGCGTGCCGCTCGTAGGTTGCGGCGCAGCGTATTTACGCCGGCCGGGTGAGGCCGTCCGTCTTCTCAGCTCCATCTGATAGTGTCGGCCTTAGCGGCTCGTGAGGGCAGGTGGGGAGGCGACGCGATCGGTGATACTATCGGCCCTGTCCCCGGCTCGACCGAAACGGATAGCCCGGGCGGCCGGGTGTCGGGTTTGGTAAAAACATGAACGGGACATGGCGTCGAGAGATCAAGAGGTTTGTGGGACGGAAGGGACGCACCCAGGATGTAACGGGGCGATGAAGAATGCCGGTGACTGATCGGGGTGTAACACACCCGGCTCGGGCCAAATTGCAATTATGTCTCGCCAATAGGGGACGGAAATGGAACCGTGCTGTCCGTGTGTTTCGCCGTCTGGCGCTCGATGCGCCCATTCGGTATGCCTGGCCGGCGGGCGGGCCAGCGGTCGGATCGCCGTCGCTTCGTCCGTCCCGGGATCGGGCCGACGCCGACCGCTGCATTTAAACAGCCCCATCAGCGCGGCGACCGGCCGACCGGCCCACAGCCCATCACCGGCCGACCGGCCGGCCAGACGGCGCGCGATGGCAGACGTCGCTCCCTCGCCGTCCGCTCTAGGGGTGGAGAGTCGGCGTCTGAGACGATCGGTTGGGATGACGGCGTGTGATGGCTGATGCGAGCCCTCAAGTCGATATTTGGCGCAGTTTGGGTGAAACTTGACTGAGGTGATGCTGGTCCTCATTGGTCCGATCGAAACCAGACTCATTTCTTCCTCGAGCCAAATATTTTGTAGGAACTGCCCACGTGTATCATCCGTGACCGTGAATGACGTCCTACTTCAAGCACATTACTACCAGGATACATGTGTTGGAGCCTGCTCAGACATGCGGCCAATCACCTCTCAGTCTGTCTGCACACTGTGCACTCGGCTGTCTGCATACTGTGCACTGTGCCGTGGCTGGCTGCTCTCACCGCCTGCAACCACAGACTCTGTGCTCCTCTCTTCCCACATACTAACTGCCGGTACTTACATACGCGGCAGCATGGGATTCTCTTCCGGCATCGATATTCATCGCATCAGCGTGTGATACCCATGCGACACAGCGTGACAGTTCGTGTCGGCCGTGACGGCCGTGACAGCCGTTATCACTGTCTCAACGCCTGCCGGCGAGACGGCAGTGGGCACCGTCCCGTCAGAGCCGCGCCCCCGATTCGCGTCTGCGCCGGACGTGTGCGTCCTCAGCTCGTTAATCATCGACGGCGGGTCGGTACATCATCGTACGGTGTCGGAACGCGACGTGCCGACGGCCGCCGAGCGGCGATGACGCCTCGCCGAGGATGACGGACGGGCGGTGACGCCGCCGACGGGCGGTGACGGCCGGTTAGAGGTCGGTGACGCTGTCCGTGGTGAGGTGACAGTGAAGACCGATGGCGAAGACAGGGAATGGGTGGTGACGGTTGGTGACACTGGGCGATGAGTTATTGCGGTAGCCGGTGTAGTTGTGCACTATATTGATGAATGCCGCCACACGCTTGGAACGGCATTTATAAACTAAATTACTCCGAAATTTTACATGTTCATAAGAAACATGTTTTCCAAAAACCACTGAAGACACCAAAACTTTCGATTCATCCGGCGAACAGCATCACCAAGTCACGACCTTACGAGCTGTTTTCGGTAAGCTGCAGCCACCCCGTCAGTCCCCGACCTGTAACGGGTGTGCTCAAACCAGCCCCATCCATCTCCAATCTCCCCTGGCACGGTACGATCTGCCCGCACAGGCCGGCCACCACGCGGCCGGTCGGGCCGCGCGCCGCCGGCGGCCGGCCAGGTAGGCGTTCATTACCGGCCGAGCGGCGGGCGCGGCGGGGTGCCGGCCCGGCCACGGGGAGCCGGCCGTAAATTAGACGCCGAGCGCGATGGCGGCCGACGGCAACGGGCGGGGAGAGGGGAGGGTGACGGCCGAGGGACCAAACACCGCGCGGCGGCGCCGGAGCAGGGTCGGGCCGATCGCCGCGCCGCCCGACAGCTCGGACGCCGACTTCTCGGCGCAACCCGCTCGGCCGGCCGGACGGCGATGCGGCGAGAACAATCGGCTTTTGTGCGCCATTGTCCCGCTTTCAATTTCCAGATGGCGGCGGCGAAATTTTTCCGGTCGGCGCTATTGTTTGTTGTCGGCGGAGCGCTGAGAGACGCTCGCCTCCCGGACGGTCCCGGCGGGCGGCCGACGGCTGAAACAAGCCGACGATCGCCGCCAAACGCCGCGAAAATGGCAGACAAAGCTGATCCCGACCGACTCGGTGAAAAATGCGGCCATCACGAGCGCTCAATACCAGTCGCTGTGGAGCGCTACGAACACGGCTTGACCTGATGTAGTGGCCGTGTGAATGACTGGGACAGTTTGTCTCTGGGAGGATCGTCGTGGAGTAGGGTACCTACTTGAGATACCTTTGTGTTCAGATTCCCTGCTCCACTGACCGGTGGTTTCTGTTGCAGAGTCTGACAGCGGCGTGATCGTCCGGTGGAAGACGCGGTGACCTGAGGCTGCTCTGAATCCGCAGCCCGCCGAGGGTCACCGTGACCGGCCGCCGGGGTCGCGCTCTTCTCGCTCGTGGTGAACGCTCCCCGTGCCGTGCCGCGTGTTCTCCCCGGTCTGACAGACTGCTGGACAGTCCGGACTGAGTCAGCCGGTGGGAGGCACGGCCGGTCGGCAGGGGCAGCCCCACGACTCGGACAGCCAGGCCCGCGGACAGTGGAGTCTGCCAGCCGACCGGGCGGCGCCCGGCGAACCGGCGGTGAACTGTGCACCCCGGAAGGGTCAGTCAGCGAACTGTGAGGGCCTCCGTGGCCCGATGGGTGGACCGTGAACTCCAGTTGGGTGGCCAGTGATCGGGGGACACGCGGGTCGAACTGAGCGGGCCGGCGTCCCGCGTCATCAGTGACCTGATCAGTGACAGTGCTGGACGGACCGCCGAGCTCCCACCGTCGGAGGTTCCTCCCCAGACTCGGCCGGGGCCGAACAGCCGCCGATCACACCGCTCTTCATTTGTAATGCCCTGCTGCGCCGGCGTGGCTCAGTTCCGTTGCGCTGTTTGCTCGTGTGGCCAGCCGGCAGTTCGCTCTCATGCATGGATATTACGTTTCGGCGGTGCCGCGCGCGCCGTACGGCCCGGGCCCGGAGCCGGGCCGCGGCGGCGCCGACCGCCGGGGCGCGGCCGCGGCCGAGAGGTTTTGTTCAAATTGTGATTTTCCGGGAGCGGCGATCCCTCCCGGGAGCTGTTACGTTCTCGGCTCTGCCGCCCCGGTTTTGTATCGTGTATACTCATTATGTACCGTATTGTACGTGCCCCAATAAATGTGTCCACGTTTTGTACAAACGTACATAGCAACCTCACATCTGAGGGCCCCCGTGCTGCGTATGAAAGTGACTGTGTTGTGAATGTGTGCTGAGAAGTAGAAAGAAAGTATTCTCAATGCTTGCAAAGTGTTCTGTCATGCTGCGAGGTGCGGAACGGAGGTGTGAAAATGTGTCACTCGTTTGCCATCAGGCGACGTCAATGACCGGTGCAACTCGGAACTCCCATACCACCACGCTGCTCATTGAGCGCTGTCTGCAGCCTGCAGGTCCATTCGACAGGTGTTCAGTGCTATCCCCAATCTCACACAACCATTTGTGCATTAGTTATCCTTTTGAAACACCAGGCCGCTATCGTTTCGCCGCTGAAGCCGGCCATTTCAAACGGCCCGATCGTTGAAGCGATTGAGAGCGAAGCGAGCCCAAGCGTTCGATAGGAGACGCCCGGTGGCGTCGCGTCGGCCAAAACAACCGAAAACTCCATTATCTAAAAGCGGAAGCGGCGACAAAAAGTCGGATATTGCCGCAGCGATGGAGGCGTCGTGACGACGGGCTCGCAGCTGGGCCCATTTCGACGCGGCTGGTGCGTATCGTTCGCCAAAACTGTGCCTTTAGGGCCACGGGCGAAGGGAAGTAGACGGGCGCAGGACAATGGGGGCGACACTTTTAAGACTGACAGTGACACTGGGCGTGAATTTTGTGTTTTTATTTGCGATCAGCCGGCGGATAGCTGGAGTTTCAGTCGTTAAACAATCACTCTAACTTCATCGAAAGCTTAACGTCGACAGTTGCCTGCCCGTTTCAAGTGAAATAATGTTCAGTTTCATGGAAACATTGTGTATTTCCTCTCCACTTGCATGACAAAGGGCCACTCTGCACACAGCGATACGATGCACTTTGATACTAAAGTATGCGAACTTATTTCTTTACAATGGTTATTAAAGCCAACCGACGCCCTTTAATATCGGTTTACGAGCGACTCAGACATTCAGACGGGCAAGGCAGTGAGTGGTACGCCACTCTTTAGCATGTTGTACTAGGAATCAACTGCACTTTTCCAATGAATCATAACGGCGGAAACACAACCTCAATAATTCTGATAGAGTGCGAGTCACCATTTGAGGTGAACATGGAATATGTCTTGCCTGTCTTTACGCTCGTTAAACGCTCAAAGCTCACAGTACAATTTGCCAAGTGGCGAATGCATAAAACACTGAAAGGCCAATTGCTGCAATAACCCACCCAAACGTAATACGAAATGGCGCGTTACTGACTCAAACGGTGGGTTACTGGTTTCCATACAGCTCCGGGCTTGATCCAATATGTGGTGCATTGAAGTGACTATGAAAAATATCGTAAAATAGGGCGAGAGATGGAATTCATTTCAAGTGGAGGCAATACACGGGAGGAAAGTACCATTTCTTTCCACCAGACACACCATTCACATATCACAGGCATCACGTGAGAGATCCTTAACCATTGGGATTGTGTCTCCACTGTGTAACAATACCGACATTGTGCGTCGGATTTGAGTCAACTTATGCCCACGGATGGCACCAGTCACAATGTCACTTATAACTCCAATGGAGCCAAACGGCTATGTAGCGCGATGCTTCTCGAGGCGCTAATGGCCAGCAAAAATACGAACACTAAATGATTAAACGAACAAGGCAGCAGTCGAAGATTCATGGACGAGTCTTGGACTATCCAATGGGAGAAGCCACTTGGGTGTCCACTCAATGACTGAGAGTGTGTACAGACAAATCTGACAACTTCTGAAATGGTCCGATATTAAATGGTCCCATCTTTAAACATAACGACGCAAACTCGTCTCTCGCACGGCACCAGGCCCGTAACTGTGGTCAGTGTCATCTATCGACTGCCATTCGCAACTATAGTACGTGGTTTCTCCGCCAGGGGCCTCTGTGCTATACACAGCGCAGCAACTCGTGGTGGACAGTGGTCGACGCGAGACCGCGTGATGAGAAACGACGGCTCAAAGTCCTCCTCCGGTAGACCAGAGTCTGAAAGAGATGAACGGACTTAAATGCGCCACCCTGCCACCAAAGTCATATCAATGGACAACCCACCTGCAGCAACCGTCCAAGAGACCAGAAATCGATGCTGGCCCGAGACAATTTCTCTGCATAGATCGTCCAAAGAAGTTTTCTCTCAAAGGAGTTTTTCTCAGGACAAACCCATCCACATCCCCTCACGCTTCCCTTTCCGGGCTAGCGATCACCCCCACCAGACAACCGGTGGTTGATGTCGGGTCCACAATGGGATCCGTTTAAATCCTCTCCGGGGTGACCGTTTAGGGAAGCGAGCGGACTGTCCCAACGAGGCAATCCGGTCCCACCGCCGCTGCGGATCAATGTCGATGGCTTGCACACCCCAATGTCAATCCTATCCTAACATCCTGATAGTGCAATGGCCCTTTTAGGCCGAAATAGCCAGCTCCCAACAAAACAGGAAAATCAAACCCTGACGTCCGACGAATTCGGCCGACCGATCCGTAATTTTTTCTCTCTTCGCGGCTCTCTTTCCGGTCCTCCCTCCTTCCCTCTCCCCGCCCACCTACCGGGCAGCCAGCTGAACGACCCCAGTTTGTGCGAGCAGCGCGGGCAGCTGAGGCGTCCCCGCGGCTGGCAGAGCGCGGTAGTCATCCAGGGTAGCGGCAGCAGGCGGATGCAGCCGGCGGTCACACCAGGCTGAGGACGGAGCGGAGTGGGGTTAGGGAGGGGCAATCAGGGACTCGGGCAGTACAGGCTGCTATTGAGTTTGGCAACTCAAGTGGTCACAAGGTGTAATGATTCAAGTGAATGTAAAATTGTAATTGTGCGAGTGCTCAATAAACCACACCAGTAGTAATTTGGCTGAGATACAATCGAACAAACAACTGTTGATGAATACACAATGGCAGAGTAACTCGAAGTACAACTGCCTCACAAACTTTTTCGTAGCCCCATTACTTCATCAATACTACCCGATGATGATACTACCAATACTACCCGAGCAGAAACCAAATAGACGTAACATCATCACTTCTCAGTCTAACTCCTCAGCTGCACCCACAGTCTATCCACATCACCCCTATCTCACCATCCCTTCACCATCCTCACCGCCTTTTCCTGCTCCTTGACGACTGAGTGCTCGGAGAACAGTGCCGTGCGGCACTGTCGGCATCTGTAGACGGCCGCCGGGGGACCGGCCGCGCCCGGGAGGCCGGCGTCAGCCACCAGCAGAGGTTCAGACAGCGTCGTCAGGCGGGAGATGTCTGACGGTGCAGGTGGTGGGGGATGGTCAGATACCGGCCGTGATGGCAGTGGTGGCGGTGGGAGTGAGGGGTGGGGGTTGACAATGGGTGCATGCTGATAATAATTTATAGATCGAACGTGGGATTTCACTGCATGCGACGCATTGTGCGATCGACGGCAAAGCAGAGACTATGGGCATAAGGAAAACATCCCCGATTCCCCGTAACTATACTTTTGAACGGCAGGAACCCATCACTCTCAATTTAATCTACTTCCAAACTGTTGTTCCTCTGTCTTACTACTTCGTTCCTGCTGACTCACCCATTCCGGCGGCCTGCGCTGCGGCACGGAGCCTGTACCGACGGAACTCTGGCTGCTCGAGAGATGTGCGACACCCGAGTCGTTCGTACAGCTCCAGTTGTCGACGGAAGCCAGCGTTGGGGCTCACGCACGGCCGACAGTGGCGCAGCCTGGCGGCGGAGGGGCGAGTCAGTGATAATGGCGTACCGGGCGTACCCTGACGGCGCGGTGGAGAGGACAACAGATGTACTCAAAGAGGTTAGGTAATGTAACACTGCAGCGTCCGGAGGAGAGGGATACAGCGATTCATCACAGATGTTAGATTCGATAATCCGTTGCTCAGTAACGCCAGCACTACTGACCTCTTGACGGCGTCGTCGGCAGAGATCCCGTGTTTGGCCATCAGATAGGCGGCACAGGCAGTGGCACTTCGGGAGACGCCGTGCCGACTGCCGAATACAGCAAGGGGGCTGCGTCAGTGAACTGAGACAAACATACACACTGAGGGATTATATCACAGCATCGGTGTTTGAATAAAATAGCAACTAATAACTAGTACGGATTGAGTTTACATCAGCCACGAGACGAGGAAGAATGCAATTGAACACCAAAAAAGCTAAGGACAATCGCATGCTGATTGCTGCCTGAGTCACTTACCAGTGCACATATACAGCACATGTCAGCAGTCCAGTCTTAATAAACGACACTATGTCGTCAAAATGAGAGAGCAGATCAGCTGTTACTAAGTCATCCACTGAAAGGAAAAGAATCACTAATTTCATCAAATAAAAAATGACTGAAGCAAAAAATGATATAACTAACATCAACAACAACTAAACTATTTCACAATTTGAAGCAAAAAGTTATTTCGCTTTTAGTCAGCATCAGCCGCAGCGCATCACGCTAGTGATAATAATTGATGGCAACAACTTTGGTAATCAAACACACACTAACCTTGTATAAATTTATGCTCCAACACGCCGGATGGAATCTGAGACAAATCATCGCTCTCGATGGTCAGCACCTTCACAGTCGAACTGGTATGGGAGAGCAGAAAATCTTGCAACCCCCTTCTGCTACCTGGAAGCGAATGATATACCAGTCAGCCCACACCACTGTGGAAGTGTCGCTCGGTGGGAGGACGCTATCACTCGGTGGGAGGACACTATCACTCGGTGGGAGGACACTATCGCTCGGTGGGAGGACGCTATCACTCGGTCACTCTACAGTTATTATTTTCATAACTAAGAATATGAGCCTTCGGACAAAGTCAAAACTGCCCGTAAAAGGTCATGTTGCACAACAATTGATTTGAATTGTAGTTTGCACAGTTGAACATATCCAAGGTGGTTTGAGTGACTGCTGGGCATTAGTTGCACCTTGCCCATTGCCTAGGGAAAGAGACGTCACAATTCTGAATATATTTTGTGGTTTTAGCACCCTTACTCAACGCAGCACGCATTTGCACTTTCCGCCATCGTTATAAAATAATGAGATTACTGACGAGCTTCGAGAGCAGGATCGTCGTAAAATAGCAGCATTAGAGACCAAGATTATCATACATGACATAAGTTGAGATGAACAATAATTCGAAACTGCTTTTGCGTACAAAGGCCTGGGCCCTTGGCAACCCCTTTGATCTAAATTACCGGAGATTTAGGGGCAGGAAAACACGCATAATAACGGTTTCTCTTTAGCGCATTTTGCACTTAAATTGCAATCCATTTGTAACACGTAATTTACTCATCTCTTTGGTATTTAAAACGATATCAAGTCGCACAACTATAAGGAAACTTGAACATACCTAAAAACAGGCCATCCTCCACTGGATTAAAGTCCATGGCAGACGAAGATCTGACCAATTTCTTCCACCGCTAGGACAAACATAGCAACCCTAGTCCGTACGTTAAAACACAGCTTGGAAGAGAAATCCCTGTAAATACAAGGCACCATGTTAGGTCGCACTGCACGTCAATACCGTGTTGAACATTCTGCTGTATTAAACAGAGCACACAAACACATAAACAAATTATTTTACGAACCATTTATCGAGTCAAGATATGAGTCAAGTCCTAATGGTTGAGTGGATAGCTATGAGCCCAGATACTAATCCTCACCAGCTTCGTACTTCTTAGTAGCTCAAGTTCAGTTGACAGCCATATCTACTTGGCACTGGCCATTGCGCAAAACATGTGAGGGTCTACGTAAGCCGAGGTACCTAGTCCGCGGCGGAAGTTGACCGCTACAATCACAGTGCACCTGCAAAGCCGCCTGCATCGCAACGATGGTAGTCGCAGCGTTTCCAGTCTATTTCATTACAGCCAAACCCAAAGTTGCAATTTCGTCATCATCAGCTTGGCCAAAAGTGGAGATAATGGAGAACAGAGGGTCATCAGGGCAGTCTCATGGCGCACCCGATATGTGAGCTGAATGAAGGATAAAAAGAAGAAAAAGATCTAGTTATATGATGAAGCAATATGCATTTGATGAACAAATGCAGCTAAATCTCAAAGTAAATGGTCAAACTAAACATGTAAGTTGTAACTACTTTCCTCACTCATCACTGCCACCATGACTGAAGCTGAAGGACAAGTTTGGCAGCCGTGTCATCAGCCCTGGGCTGACAAACTGACATGGCTGCCTCGCAAGGCCACCAAGGCCCAGCAGACTGGAAATTGGAAAACATCCATGCACTACGCCGGACGCCCGTGAGGCCGACATTCGGCGCAAGCAATTTTGCGCTCAAATTTTTGCATGACTTGTGTTGAAAATTGGGTGCCTATTTGTGCCAAAATCAGGCCACTTTTATATAAAGCACATGTGCACATCTACCGATCAAGGCTATATCAATCAACCAGACAGAGCGGTCCGGGGCCTTGGACGCCCTCCCGTGTTTGAGCGTCCGAATAAGTTTTTTTTTTCACTGAAACCCAATACCTCAATACGCTTAGCGCACTGTAGCGTCGTGCCGTGAACCAAGGCCAGAGCCGGAAGTTCCGGGGCCGCAAATATCGGCGGAGCGGTGTGTTCGAGGCTGGCGGGCGTCAGCGGGGGCCGGGCAGCGGAACAGCACGTGCTCCGGCACATCAGCCTCCTCCCGGCACACGGCACAGAGCGCCGCGGGGCACCGCTTATCGGGGCACTGCAGGCATGCCACGGAGTGGAGACAGCCGATTTGGTGCACGTACTGGAGCGAACGGCCCCAGTGGCCCGCACTCATCTGGTGCACCGAAACGGCATCCTCTCGGTCCTCTCCGGGGATAGGGAGCGGCGGCGTGCTCCCAATGAGTGGCTTGACTAGTAACTAGGACCAGTTGTAACGCCATTGATGAGAGGCAGCACAATGAACCGCCCTGGTCAGCGAACGGGCGTTTGAGGGCAGGGTGGCCGCTTGTTTCGCTAGGTCTTCCGCGCTCTCATTCCCCGCGATACCTCAGTGGGCAGGAACCCACTGCAGTGTTTTAAGGACGCTCGGCGATGTTTAACAATGAACAGGGTCTTCCATACCTATCTCCACAGCGAGGTTTGAGGCCTCACATGGGTGGCCGTTCCTCCGCTGAGTGGACTCAGGGCGGCTTGCCAGTTCGAGCACGCGACGACCGGTGCTGGGACGTCTCGTCCCGAAAACTCTCCAGAGCCGCCCGCAGGGCGAATCTGCTGCTAGATTGACCAGTGTGCCGACTAAATTCGGTGACCATCTTTCACCAAAAGTTGTGGCCGCCTTGCGCCGAAAAATTCAGCCGCTGCCATGTGCCGAATTTGGTGCACGCGAAGGTACGCCGAACGTGCGCTGAAATTTTCGGTGCAATCCCGCCACTACGTACACCACCCAGACATATTTGGCCCGCATAGCATGCATTTTTTCCAGTTTGGCCAATGCCGATCATGCCCCCCCCAGCCCCCAACACCATTGCTTGACTGGCTTTGGTCTAAAGTGCTATCCAGTGTCCCGTAGCTCAGCCGGTCCCATAGCTCAGCTGGTAGAGGACTCCGCGTGGTGAGAGCACGCGTTCCCGGTTATGACAGTCAGGGTTCTTCGAAGCGCGACAGGTGCTTGACATCCAGAATTGGAGGATCAAAAGCATGAGTGACCTGACCTGAAAAGACTGAGACTTGAAATTTTCAGGATAGGTGTGAAAAGGTTGCCCCAGAGGCTATGCCAAATTTGGCGGCGCTAAGTATGTGCTGCCGTTTCTACGTCATTTGCGAAAAACCTTAAGGGTGTTGCATCAACCCCCCTCGCTGGGCGAGGGTTATGGCTTGAAAGTTGATATTGTTAATTTTCTTAGATTTTTCACAACTTGCATATTTGAGATGATTTTCTATAGTAACCTATCTGTATCTCACACATCAACATACTTCATCTCTTAGCATTCAATAAAATGATGCTAGAAAAGCTGAAAACGCCCGTCGGGAATCAGGATAAAATAGCAAATCATTTGCAAATAAAGCAAATAACAACACCCTCTGTCTTAAAAGATATCAACGAGCTCATCCTAACCTTCACTCAAAATATACCCTGATCCTAACCCAAATCCTAACCCACACCACTCACAAATACAGCGCGAGCAAGGCCCTATATACCAGGTAGGGTCGTCCGGCGATTCTACCTGATCGTGACGTCAGCTCGTGACGTCATCTGGGGGCAAGTCTTGAAGTCCCGTTTAAGTCCTATGCAAATGGGCGATTTTTGAAGCGCTATAGAACAAACTCTGCTAAAGCTAGCACAAAACTAAGTGCATCATCGGAAAGCCGAGACATTTTTCTTCGAATTATCTAAGACGCGTTTTTCATTAAACCCTTAACCCGCGCACCGACGGGGGTCTGCGCCAACTTAGTACCGACGGGGGGGGGGGCGGATGACCGCCCCCCCCCCCTGAGATCTCGAGAACGAAGCAAGATAGCGACAAGCGGTAAACGGCATCGGATACGCACGGTCAAGATCTACAATTTTTACTAAGGTCATTTTCAGGTCAGGTCAAAGATGACGTCACAGGGGTCGAAAAAGTCAAAATGGCGGCGCTAAATATGGAGAGTTTTTCTCGAATAACTTTCGAATTAGTCAAGATAGGAACAAACTAAGGGCATCATCGTGATCCTCTCGTCAATCCGCATCGAATGATATATAAATGTTGACCTCGAAAGGTCAAGGTCACGTGACCTCGAGGTCATCATGTATATCATTCGATGCGTCTTGACGAGCTGAACACAATGAGACCATCCACGCGTCTGTATCTTGTTCCTGTACGGAGTTATTGGCCAAAAACCTTTGGTGACCTTTGATGACGTCACATGACCTCACAGCTGCCCAACAGCAAAACAGACCTCAAGGTAGTGAAGGTTGATCGTATATGAAGTCATGTATGGTATATGGGGCCATTCCGACCCGTTTTAGTGGTAAAAACAGGGAGTTGATTTTTCCCCCATTGACTTATAATGGGGAGGTCGCGAAATTGACCTGACCTTAGGTCACCGATATCAAAATTCCGAGATATACAAATTGTAGCTACTAATGACCTAATAACATCCTGCGACTTTCAAAGGCCTCCGACATCTACTGTAGCTCTGGCACGGTGACAAAGTTGCAAAAAAGTGACTTGAGGTTGGGTCATTCAAAGTGACCTGGTGACCTGACCCTGAAAGGTAGGAGGTTCAAACTTGCACACCATGTGTAAAATTGATAAGGGAATAGTCATACCAAATTTCGCGGCGCTACGCGCCGCGGTTTTCCCGCTATTCGCGAAAAACCTCAGGGGAGGGGGGCGGATATCCGCCCCCCGTCGGTGCGCGGGTTAAGTTTTTTTCCAAAAATGCGTAAAAAAGCCCCCATGCCTCCGCAGCCTCCCTTCCGCCGGCCGCCACGCCGCCGCGGTAGTGTAGTGGTTAGGATGCTTGCGCCGTAATCTAAAGATCGTGCGTTCGAATCTAGGCGCGGGTCGTACTTAAATCGAAATTGCAAGCAGGATGTGTTTTTTCTTGATAAATGACTTATTATACAGCTAACTGTTCATAAAACTATCGATAACAATTGACAAACACAAAATATAGAATACATTCTAATAAAACAAATTCAAATATGGCGGCCGTTGCGCTAGGCTCCGCCCCCGACTCCGCCCCTTCGTGTGACATCATCTGTGCACTTGGACACACAGGGAGATAGGGGACGACATGGGCCTGAGCGCGAGAACAACAACACCGTATTCATTTGATCATGTCATAGGATCATGTGCAGAAAATGTATCAGGAACTATAAGTAATAAAGGCAAAGCTTGCCTTGACCTTCCACAAACTGTTTATTTCTTAAGGTTTGTGTCATGAAATTGTGTATCAAATCTCAATTAGTCAATTTATCTGTATTTTATGAAGCATAAAATGTCATTTGAAGAGGAAATCTGGATAAAAACATAAAAAGGGCAGTCTTTACAAAATAATTTCTAGCGATCTGATTGGTTGTCTGTCATTAGCACGACAAACGGATTCTGTTGAATGCATAATTCTTTGGATGCCGTAGATGGCGCATCAGAGACAAATGTTCGCGGAGATGGAAGTCAAAGTGGGGGTAGTATAGGTGAGGCATTTTACTTTATTTTGAGTGATGTTTAGTTGATCGATGCTAGCTGAAAGTAAGGATATTGAACTCCTAAACTCTGGCTTAATATTCATAGAATAAAATCTATAGATGGCCTCGAAAATAAAAGTACATTTAATAGCGATCCCTATTCTGTTGCCAGTAGGTAGCCTGAGATTATAACCCGGTTTACATAGCATTTTTGACGAGGCTCTAGCTTGTTAATTTGGCGATAATTTCGATGCAGTGGTCTTCAAATATTTAGAGAGGATCATTTTGTAAATTGTTAAGCACCATTGGCATCTTTTGCAACATCACAGACGGAGATATAAGCTTGCAACAAACCCTATGTAAACTGGGTTTATGTGAAATGCGAATATGAGCCTCTAAAAATAGCTCTGATGAACTATTAGGTTAGGTTAGGTTAGGTTAGGTTAGGTTAGGTTAGATGTCTTTTGTTATTTGTCTGGATGGATGAATTGGGGGTTGTTTCGTCTGGTTCTAGATCCTAACAGCCATTGATTATGCTGAGCACTGAGCAGTGCCTACTGCGAGAGATAATACAGACCCGGGCTGATCAGGGCCCAGTCCCTGAATCTTTTGCTGCCATGCAAAGGTAAAATCATGTATCTGTGTCATCATTTTTAAGAAAACAGCAACATACAGGGTTTTACCCTTGCATGGTAGTATGGTTTACCACCTTATGCAACACCCCAAGAAGAGGTATCATATCTCACAGACATGTAAACCCTGACACAGGAATGGCTGCTGCTAACAAAGATGATCTCTATCTGTTAGATTCTCTGTCTATATCTCACTTTTCCTTAGCATTTTACCCATTTGCAGATCTTTGGAGCATCATCCATCACTATATGTATAAGTCATATGTAGTCTTTACAGTCATTTTTACTTGTTTAGGTCCTCAAAAAAAAAAAAAAATCAGAAGGTACCTACAGACACTGCATACATACTCCACAGAGAACTTGCAGTCCCTGTGCCATCCTGTGCAGCCATTCTCTTTCCTCACACTTGAATAATTTATTTATACCACACTTGGATATGGGTAGCCAGCGCCTAGCTGGCCATTATGGCCAGCCCAGGTATGAACAGCCCTTATATTGTTGAGCTGGTCAAACAATGTGCTCAGGCCTCAAACTCATCTGGTTGGAGTTGGACATAGAGGACAATGGACAGCATTCTTAACATTGTAAAAAAAAATACATAGCCCAATTCTCCTTTGCTAAACAATTAATTTACAGCTATAATGTAGAACTCAATCAAACTACTTCTGTATATGTTTCAAGCTATACTTGCCCCTTTTCTGCTTCAGGAGGCAGCCGCAGTCTGGCACTCTCAGTTGACCGCCGACTTCTGCTGTTGTAACGCGTCCGTCTGCGGTCCGTCCGCTGCTCTCTGCCGCACCACCGACCGGCGTCCGTCGCCAGGTGCCATGGAGCGTGTGGCGGCGCTGTGCGGCCGCGCCGCGGGCATCCTGACCGCAGCCATCAAGTACGGCTGCATCGTGCACTGTTCCACCGAGTACGTGGCCGACGTGGTCATCTGCACCGGGCCCAGCATGGAGCCCACCATCTACTCACACGACGTGATCGTCACGGAGAAAATCAGCCCGCTCCGACAGCGGATCGCCGCCGGCGACATTGTCGTGGTGCGCTCACCGTCCGCTCCCCGTAACAACATCTGTAAACGCGTGACAGCCGTGGCCGGGGAGCGCGCCGGCACGCGCGGCGTGCTCGTCCCGCGCGGTCACCTGTGGCTCGAGGGGGACAACGCGGCCAACTCGAACGACTCGCGCAACTTCGGCGCCGTGCCGGCTGGCCTGGTGCGCGGCCGGGCCGTGCTCAAGCTGTGGCCGCCGGCCGACGCCGGCTGGTTTGACTCGCGTGGCTGGCGGCGGCAGCACGGCAGAGAGGAGCGCCAGCGCTGGTGAGGACCGTGTGGGTGCTGGATAGGTCGGACTCGGTGGCAATGTGCTGTGATGGAGACAGGCGCCGCAGCGGGAGCGCCGCCTGTGGCCGGAAGTCCGCAGGTGACAGGTGACAACAAATGACTCCGGACTCGGCAGGTGACAACAAATGACTCCCACTCTACGGATCGGAGCGTCATCTCCTCGGTCGGCATCTAGGTAGGAATTGTTTGACAACAGCTATTGGCGGTTCGGTCAGTCACCTCGAACGGACTTGTTGGATGTAGTCATATTAGTCGTGTTACCCTAATTTTTCATCATGTGTGGCATCAGTAAGTAGTATTTAAATCAGATTTTGACTCAGGACGGGTTGTTGGACATTAGTCATCATTTTCACACGTCGGAGCCATGAACGATAGCACCAAATGTTCTCACACAGTGTGTCACCAAGTCTGGAGTCCTCCGTTTACGCCCTCCGTTTACGTTGCGGATTGTTTGCAATGCGGATGAATCCACCAGCAATACAATATACATACTCATGTGCAAACTGCTTGTCACTTAGTGAGGCCGTGTGGTCCCATGCATCGCTAGAGCGCTGCTGTTTCCAGTTTCGCTTTTTACCCACATCTAACTTGGATAAGCTTGTTATTCTTTGAACGTTTTCAGTTCCTTCACAATTCGCTTATGTGTTCCGCTGTCACTTGGTATCGTCACTTTTCATCACCCATTTCACCTTGTCAGTACGCTCCAGGCAAAACACCATTTCGGGCTTTAAATATATAATTTCTTTCTGTTTAAAAAAATACCTGCTTGTACAAGATATAATACAGAAATGAGCACTACACCTAGGTAGGCTAATATTGCTCCATATCTATCACAACGTGAGTCTCGTGCCTACCACACAAAGGTACGCGTTACCCTCTAGGGCTACCGGTCTGCAGGCGGGGAGAGGCGCCCCAGGCATGCAAACCTCTGGCGGCGGGCGGGCGGGGCGGGGCGGCTGGTGTGCGCGCGCGACTTGAGCGGCTGGAGGGGAGAGAGGAGAGAGCAGAGAGAGAGGAGAGAGCGGCCCACGGCGGCTGGCAGAGCGGCACTGAAGCGGGCCCGACGAGCCTCGTCTATGGCTAGGGCGACACGAAGAAGCGACTGTCGAGTGGGAGAACACCCGCGCAGCCAGCCGACAGCCGCACACAAGCCAGGGAGATCGACACACTCCGCTACGTAGCCTCAGAAACAGTGTGGTCGTGTGGGTGAGCTATGCGAACCAAACTTCAATGAGCACTACAAGAGATACATGGAGAGCGGGAGATTCTCCAGAACGGCTAAAACTTTTCATCGAAGTGGCTAAGCATAGCTCCAGTGAAGCCTCCCCTTAGCGAAGTTCATTGCCGCTGCCACTGCCCGCGCTCCTACCCTTTGGCGGCGCGTGTTGGGGAGCACACACCCGGGGCCATCGTAGGGCCCCCGTCCGGGTCAAGGTCACTAGCCGAGGTCATGTCACGTCACAGGGGGCACGGGGCCGCCCGAAGGCGCGCCGATAGGTCGCTCCGGCCTAACGTCCCGGGAGTCGCATTACTCTCACTGTAAATCACTACTATCGGTCACTGACTGGGCTGCTAGAGCACTACGAAACCCTTTGATTCAATCGGCGGTAAAGCTTCAAGCGGCGACTATTTACCACGTACGTGTGAGTTTTTCAGGCCCTCGTGGTCTGGGCACGTCATTTGTAAGCATTCGGGAAATAAACGCCCTAGATGAGCTCCACCGCACAGGAATACGTTTTCCACGAACTTGAACCTTGTCTCGCCACCCCTGGATCGCACGTAGCAACTCATCGCCGCCAGCAGCGCCCCTTATGTACAGATCAGCGGCCAGTTATCCCACAGGCCCGTTCACATGCCATGTCACCGCGCGGCATCACACGGCGGTTGGCAGACATCCCTCGCACAGCCACCAGCATCCACGCAGGTGGCGACATCCTTACTGCAGGTGGCGCCACCAACACCCGGCTCAGCGCAGCTAGGTGGCTCGGCAGGCGACTACGCTAATCGCGCGCGGCACGTTATGGGACGGTACTATCGGATCGGGCCTAGGGTCGCTCGTGTTCTCGCCTGTAGCTCCTCAGTCACCCTCGGGGCGGCCGACGCGGTTTGTGGCCGGCACCCCGCACACAGCTCCAACAACAATAATATCACTCTCTCGCGCGACCTGCAGTGTTTTCATGGACCAGGCACTTTCTACCGCCGGCAGGTGGCGTGGCGCGGCCGGGAGTGGCGGCCGGCCGTCCCCCACAGCGCCCTCCTACCCGCTCCGGCAGCAAGCGCTATGTAAAACCTTACAAAATCAACAACACCAGCGACCGGGCCGGCCAGCAGTGGCGGTAACCGAGCCAACCAGCCGGCGTGCGGCCCGCACCTCACTCAGCCGGGCCCGACCTCTGACTTGAAGATGATGTCGGACTTGTGAAAGGAGGGACGGTGCCCGGTGCGCCGACACGCCTCCTCGGCTCTCGCGAAGTTGTTCTCCGATTTCGGCCGCGGCAGCCGGGCGAGCGCCCGCCCGATGGAGAGGTGGTGGAGGCTGATGCTGTTGTGGTGCGGCTCCGACTCCTCCTCGGAGCTGGGTCCCTCGGGCTCCTGGACGGCGATGGCGCTCACCAGCGCGTTCACCGTTCGACAGTCCGACTGCAGGTCCTCCCGGTTCGAGACGATGCTCGGGTTCTTGCCGATCTTATTTAGCCTGTAGGAAGACAAGGGTTTGTCAATATTATGGTGGCTAGTCTCTAAAGCTTCGGCGATTAGAAGTGGTTAGTGATAGTGGATAATTCAAGGTGCAGACGATCAGAGGTTGGTGTTTTTATCGCGTACTATTGTGTGTTTTCCGGGTGGAAGAAATTAATTTGATTACCTACACCCGACTCACAACTGTCCGAGCAGAGTGAGTTACGTAAGACAGCGAAGAGAATCGGGCGCACAGTGAGCTTTAGACGGAGAAGACGAAGAAATAAGAGCTCACGGGGATTGCTGGTCTCGAAGATTTAGTCGAGAGACGCTCAGGCATAATTTAGCGTAAAATACATAGTACTCGTGAGTTGTTGCCATGTGAAAGGAACGATGAGGGTATGTTAGAGCTGCTTAGATCAGAGAGGTCAAAACAGTGACACGGACCTATGTGTTAATGTACCAAGGTCTATAAGAGAGCATAATATAGACGACAGATATAAAAAAGAAGAGCACGTAGCCTGTGAAAGCAAGACAATGAATGGGCAAATGTATTCCTATATTTATCTGCTATATGAGACTGCTGCCTTCCTATATTTCTACAGTTTTACGCTTCCAGGCTGTTGTCAGCCACTTTTGCTAGATTTTGTCCGGTTTTGATGTGAGGGCGACGGAAAGACCGTCGCAGGTCTATGGGATGATAAAATATTGTGGAGGCATTGGAATCATCGGACAATCAACGGCTCGCCGCAGTGGCCGTCCCACCGTGACGGCCTGTGGTAGAGAATGTCACGGTGGGACGGGAATGTCCCGTTGGGACCGCCCGGCCTAACGGGAAAAAAGGTTGTGCGTAGTCCAATAAAGGACCTGGCGGCTTCAACACCTGTAGAGGGTGGGCGTCAGCCTGGACAAGTAAGCTATAATGTAGTCGTAGATGATGATGTGGATGGGTTGACCCGGAGGAAAGCTCAACTTGACGCATGGCCGCGCCGTGAGCCGACCGCAACCAGCCGTTCTACTGGTCCTGCTCGGCAGCTCGGCGGTGCAGTCTATCTGCAGGCGCCTCTACTAGTGCCATCTAGCGGCTGGATTTTCATCGAAAGCCGTACGTATCAAGATTCAAGAATGACATTGTTTTCAGGCCTACTAGAGATGTTCCCTTTTTAGCGATTTTTGATTGGGCATTTTTAAGACCATACCTACTGAAAACCAAAGCTTGTCACACATTTTTAATCTCAAACAACCTGATCGGAATTCCGGGAAATTGACACATGTCAGATTTTTCATCAATCTGGCATGTGCCTACATCAGATTTTGTCACGTTCGAATCATGGCTTTCCTCGCCGCAGCTTCCCAATGATAGCATCGTTTTACGGCTTTAATGGGTTATTATAAGATAAATTACTGTATTCATAATAGTAATAAGTGGGTAATTGCTTCACAAATATTTCAATTGTAAATTGGCAAGATCTGGCTATACACGTAGATTATTCTTGCATTCATTCATTCACAGGACTGATAATACTTGAAATCAAAGCCTTTGGGCACGTCAAAACCAGTGCAGATGAGATTAATGATCCGCTGAGCGGAGCACGCGTTTCCCCTTAATGTAAGAGAGCTCAAGCAGAAATGATAACGGTAGAACCGGAACCCATATCACCTTAACCCTAGAACGCCTAGGGGGGGGGGGGTTGTATCAACCCCCCCCCCCTGAGGTTTTTTCGAAGTGCACGCTAAACGGCTTGTCGTAGCGGGCTGAAATTTTCAATACCCTCTGGGGCAACCTTTGCGCATCTTTTGCCGAAAAAAATTGATCGGGTCATGTCAGGTCACGGAGTTATGACGTCATAAGAGGTACAGCCTCCGGCCGGATTTTCACAAACTGAGTGCCAACGCCCGAGGTTTCCTGCCGGTGGTACGGACATCGGTTGATGGATCTTGATGAAACTTCCCATGCATGTTGGGGCAAGTATTGGCTATCATATGGTATAAGAAATTTGACCGGGTCAGGTCAGGTCACGGAGCTATGACGTCACAAGAGGAACAGCGTCCGGTACTATTTTTGAAAAGCGCCCGAACCACTATTTTGCTAATTCTTGTCACCTCAATGGGAATATGCAGCAATATTAGCTTCTATAGGGAGCAAATGGACCTCCCAAATCCAAAAATACAATCAGATTTCAAAAATTTAAATTTTGATTTTTCGAATTTCTGCCGCCGACTGTGACCTTGCCGACTTCCGGCGCTCCCAACGCGCCATTTTTAGAGCTAGGGAAACGAAATACATACCAAACGATAGAGAATTGATCAAGGAACACGATAGTGAAGGTTTCAAGTCGATATCTCCCACCGTTTTGCCGCAATCGCCGCCGAAAGTTGAAAAAAGTCTATTTTTCCGAAAATTTGACCTTTGACCGGTCAAAAGTAGGTCAAATGTTGACCTAGGACCAAAAAATATACCACCAATCGCGAGATCTCGTTGAGAGCAATCCGTTGGTTTTTTCCGCTAAGCTCTATGACCTTCCGTTTCGAAACGCCAGGGGGGGGTCGTAACAACCCCCCCCCCCCTGGTCGTTCGTGTTATGAGAAATGGCCTGGTCGTGCGAGGGTTAATAATTCTACCAGAAAAGCCCTCACAAACAGCTGTGTCATGTATCACTAAAACGGTGCTCTTTTTCGGTCACATCCTGCCGTCTCTGAGCCTGGCACCTTCTTGAGAAATGACATAATTCTTTCGAAAAAAGAATGAGTTTTATGCAGCGAATTTTACACTTGCATCAGCTTTCTTTACGGGTCATGGTAAAACGTAAAACGTAAACGTATTTAG